CATGTTATAAAAACTGCAGGCAGTTACTCATCTAACCTCTGTGTTTCATTCCCTATTTCCATTTTTCATATTTAAATGGAGGAGACACACCAAAATTACAGATCACAATGGTTCTATACAGTTACAAAGACTGTCTAGAGCCATTTGTAATAAGTACAATGACCTTGTAGTTGATGTTCCTGTTCTAGAGTAAGAGCCTGGCCTTGCAAGCCTCCTCCATGAATGGGAATGGCAGGAACACTTTTAGAATGAAATTCTAAATGATAAACTAAAGTATTTCATATCAGCAGCTAGACAATTCACCAGTTTGAGATTATTTCCATCTAAACAATTACAAATTCATGTGGAATATTACTATCTTCTCTATGCACCATGAAGACAGGGAGCGCACTCAAAGCGCAAATGCTCCCACTCTGTGTAATAGATAAAACTTGAACCAGGATATCATGAAGTTATTTGCATACAAGTTATGTTGTATGGTGGAGAATGAATGTATCAGACACATGACTTCGGAATTGGCAAGCAGTAGGCTGTTCATTCAAAAAATTGGTTTTTAGGGTTGAACCTAATCTCCCATCCTTCCAGCTACTGGAATTTGTTGTGAAGGATGATGGAAATTGTAGCTCAAGCCCACAGACCCAGAGCAAAGGGGATGTTGTGGCATCAAGACGCTGGATACATCTCCTTTCATTTTTGAAAGATGCATAGGGGAAGCTCTTTCCCGGAGGTTATGAATTGGTAGGGGTAGTGCATGTCCAGAATCAGGGTGAGTGGCCCACCAGGCTCATGCAGAGCTTGTCTGAGGCTCAGAGAGGGAGTCTTGTCAGAATAAAGTTATAAACTCAATCAAAAAAAGCATCCGGTCCCTGGTAGGAGCCCCCAACCAACATAGCCCTCAGAGGCCCACAGTAAGTGTACTCTGCTCCCAGAACAGGTCAGATCAGATCAGTAAAAACAAACAGTCCCTGTCTATAGGGTTACAATCTAAAAGTTATGACACAAACAGGGGGGAAAGGAAGAGGAAAACTCAGGCACCAATTATTAACTGTCCTCTTCTCTTGGAAACACAGTACCAAAAGAAGAGGCAATGGATTTTTCAAAAAGGAGAAGAGATTAGGCATAGTTCCTAACAGAGAGAGCTTTTAAAATAAATTTATCCACAACACAAACACGCTTAAGACCTCTGGAACAGTGATTTCCAATTAACTAAGATAGGGACCCCCTACTTTTGAAAATTTTGATACCTCTATGGTAGTTTATGTTACGTGAATGGTGCTATGGACCCCCTGGGTGTGTTACGCAGACCCCCTAGGGACCACGGACCTCCAACTGGGAAACACTGCTCTAGAAGAAGTAGTGAACAGGGCTCCACTTTGTTTCCCAAAGCAAAATATAAATGAACCAAATCAAAGCCTTTCAATTTACATATGATCATGGCCTTAACCCCACAGACTTTTGAATGGACTCCATGAAACACTACTCTTGTACAGAGGGAAAGAAGAAACAGAGCCTGGGTAATCCACTTCAACAACCTTCAGAAAAGCCATACAACCACAGTGGAAAATCTCTGCATATTATCTAGCCAATTATACATTATTTTCTTCTTGACTTGGGATAGGACATTATTCGGAAACCAACACTCTTTGTCATGGAGACACTTTTTCATATTTCATTAGCTTAGGCCACAGAGGAAACATGTGCCATGTATCCCTTTTAAAATAACATTATCTAATTTCATAGACAATAAAGTCAAAATTGACTTCATTTACAGAAGCTAAGGAGGTGCAATTTTTCATGGACCAGTGCCCTGGGCTTTATCTTAAAATGACATTATGGTTAGCCTCTGACATTATCAGGTTTGTCTATTACAGTTCATGTGAAACTTCATTCAAGAGACCATTATCCTTAAACCATGGAGAATAACTTCAGCATTACAGAAGCATTACAGAAGCCGGCTTTGACATTGTCAACTTACTATATTATCTCCTGAATTTCTATGTAACATAATGACTAATCCAGGCTGAATTCATTCACACCATCCTTTTAACAAGCGTTACACAAGCATATTGTTTACATGTATGTGGTTTGAACTCCATCCTATATTTAGTATCTTAAATGGAGGAGATTAAGGGAATAAGAGTTTAGTAATTTACTTTGGAAGTTCAACTGACATAAAATCCAGAATGATCATAAAAGAAATTATTTTTCAGCCTTTTTAGTAAAGAAAATTGTGCGTTTTAATTAATTATCAGAGATCTTAAAAGACTTGTTTCAGAAGTACTTAAGAGAACACTGAAGTATTAAAGGTGGGGAAACTACCATTAATTATTACTCAGTACATATTTTGCCATTCCTAAACTACTGAACTAACTCAGATAGATCCACATCTAAGTGTATTAAGATCAACCATTTCTCAAAGATGACATTTTAATATTAGCATGCAAGCAGATCTTGCAAAGAAAATACCATAATTCTTATCAATACTCATTAACACCTACTGTATTTTTCCATGTATAACACGCCCCCATGTATAAGATGCCCCCTATTTTGGGGGACTCAAAATTAAGAAAATGGGGGGAGATTGCCCCCGTGTATAAAACTACCCCCCTTTAAACATTATTTTAGTAAAAAAACAACCTAGTCTTATACACGGAAAAGTACAGTATGTTGTTTTATAAATATGCTTCCACAAAATTGGAAAACTATTTCTGAAGGTGTTTGAATGTCAAATACCTAAGAGCTATTCTTAAAAGTTTGTAACAATAAACAGTTATTCCAGTGAAGCAGTATCATCCAAACTTAACTACATTCTGAACTGAAGTATGTTGAAATTCGCAACATTAAGTTACTCTACAGCAGTATCATATTTCACATTTTGTTTGAAAATAATAAGTAATATGATAAGGTGCAACATAAAAATATCCTTAGCCAAGCTACTAAATGATTGCACACACAATCTTGTTAAATGGGACATTTTTCCAAATAGTGAATGAGTCATTTAAAGATATTTACTTTAGAAATAAAATCTGACCTATTTCTTAGTATACAACTACTCAAATCTGCAGTTTTTACATTCTAATCAGATAGCTCCAAAAATAAACCAGGTGCAAGTTGTACGTATGCTGTCAATCAGATCTCAAGTAAAAGAGCTAGGCAAACTCTCACTTTTTGCCTACTGAACACCAGTTAATAATGTAAATCACATCAATATCCCCCTACTGTCAACACCAAGGAGTACAGTAAATTTCATTAACTTCTGGTAGTAAGGTAACATACAACAATAATATTTACACATATTTCCTCTAATCTGCATCCAATTCCCAAAAAAGGGGAGCAGGAGATCTCCAACTGTTCTATTTTCTTTCCTGGGATATCTTAGTACTTTACTTCTGATTGTTTGTGGATAACCAATTTTGAACTGTTAAAAATGGAATTATGCCAATTTCTCTATCACCATCTTGCTATATTAATCATATAACCATAGAGACAGCTGCCAAATCAAAAAGCTTTGATCTACACACTCAAATCCCATCCAGTTTCATACAACCCAAAAAATTAAAAGCCATTTTACTGGTTTAGTGGAGAAGTGAAACTGTTGGTTATGAATAGTTCATAAACATTGGATCGGACTAATGCTATGGAAACCAAGAGGAAACAGGACCAGTTAATACACGCTGCCCATTCTTTTCAATCATCCTTGTTCAGATTTCCCATTCCTTTCAAGAGAGAGAGAGAAAATTACAGCAGTGCAGTGCCCTGAATGCAGGCTTCATTTCCTCCCCCTTATGCCTTGAAAGGCTTCTCCAGCAGCTGCGCTTCCACTAAATGAAAGTGCAATTTGTTATAGCCTCCACAAGCCTCGATGAGGGGCCACTGCTTGATTTCAAGCTCCCCATTTATGCCATTCACTCGACACAGGATGGACCTTGTCGGGGTTTTCACAGCACACCCAAGAAGGGCTTTGCTGAAAAGCCTGCGCGCGCGAGCGTCCCCTGCAACCGGAATCAAAACAATGCAGCCCAAACAACAGTTTGCCAGAAGCCCCCCAAAAGCTGAGAGGAGGAGCCCCCCGCGCCTGCCGGGACGCACGCCGTGCCTTTCTTGGCAGCCCTTGCTAGCAGGAGTCCCGGACGGAAGGCACCCTGGCGACCCCACTCGGGCCCCTTCGCCCAACCGAGGTCCGAGGCGACAGGACAAGGGAGGGCTGTGGAATCGGCTGGAAGTCGCCGGCGCAAGCGCGCCGAGAAGCCACTCAGCCACACGCAGCGACCAGCGAGAGCAGCTGCTCAGCCTCGCAGAAACGCCGCCAACCACCCGGGGAGGAGAAGGGGCAGCGAGCGAGGGGCTTCTCTTCCGCGCGCGGCCACGCAATGTGGACAAAAGCAGGCACTTTGGGAAACTCCATCGCCTGACAAACCTGCGCTCCCCTCCCCCCTTCCCAACAAGGCCAACTAGGCTTCGTCGACCCTTTGAACGCTGCCGCACAAACGGCGCGGGGGGGGGAGGGGCCTTGGAGAATTTCCTGAGGGAAGACTCCCCAGCAAGCCTGATCAATAAAACACCCAACAGGCATTGCCGGGGGGGGGGGGAGAGACCGCGCGCGCGTTTGGGTGGCGGTGAGAGGAAGAAGAGACCGGCTCCCTTTTCTTCCTCGCGCTCCTCTCCCTACACACCCACCCCCAGAAGAGCAGCGCAGTCACCTTCCGCGCCGCAAGGACCGCTCCGCACCCAGCGCTCGTGGGTGGCCGAAGGGCGCCAGGAATGGAGAGAAAGCGCGCTCTCCTCTCCCAAAGGAGAACCCGCCAGAAACCGCAGCAGCAGCCGCTGAGGGGGAAAGCTGTGAGGGAAAGGCAGCCCGCGGCTCGGGAGGCGGGCAGCGCGCGACGTGCTGGTGGGAGCGGGAAGATGCCCACCACCCCTCAGAGTGACATTGTCACACACACACCACACATACACAGAGGCCTCCCTTCCCCCAGCGCAACCTTTACCTCCCCACTTACCCGCTGAGAAGCACGCAGGCAGGCAGGCAGTCGATACGCGAGCCAAGAAGCACACAAGGCAGAAGTCAAAACACCGTGTGGGAGGGATGCGAGGGAGAAGGAGGAGAGGCGGCGGCGGCGGCGGCTAATCCTTGGATGTGTGTAAAGCGCGGCGGCGGCGGCGGCGGCGGCAGCGGCAGCGTGCGATCCGTGTGCGTGCGAGGAGCGGCGGCAGCACAGCCTTCTGGTCAAGGCGCTGTAACGTGCCTTTGTAGGTAGCTGTGTGCGCTCGGGGCTGCGAGAAGGAAGAGGCAGAGCAAGATTAGTCAGGCAGGGCAGCCTTAGCGCCGTGCAGGCGATGTTAATATTGGAGGAGAAGAGGCGGAGGTGTCGTCGTCCCCCCCCCCTTTCTCTCCTGCTCAGCCACTCGGGGCCACAGCGGGAAGACACCCCCCGAAACACCACACACACACTCACACCGAGGCTGTGGCGACAACCCGGCGGGCGGCGTCCCGCTCGTCCCGCGTGCTCCCTCAGGCTACCTCAAGAGCTGCGTTGCCCAAGGGGGGAAGGCGACGGCTCCCCCTCTCTCTCGGGGTCGCGAAGAGGATTCCCGTCCCCCTGACGACGCCGCCGCCACGACGACGACGAGGGGGGCATCTCCGCCGAGCTCTTCCCCGGTGCCTTTTCTTGGACTGCGGGCAGGAGGGGAGAGAGGGAGAAGCGTGAGGGGAAAGCGGGGAGCGACGAAACAGACACGTGCTCCGAAATAGACACACAAGGAGACCATCCACATGCGGAGAGCGAAATGGGGAGCGCTTGACGTAGGCGACGTAGCTGGTTGAAAGGGAGGAGGAGGGGATGCGGATGATGTTTCTGGCAGGGGCTGGGGAAAGTGTGCGAGGCACGTGCGGCCACTCGGAGTGGGGAATCGAGTCCTCCGAGTTCATTGGAGGCTTGCTCCCAAGTAAGGGCGTAAAGCAGAAATGCCTCAATTAGAGAATAAATCCCACGAATTTTGAGGAGGGAAAATATTCATAGAGCAGGTCTGTTAGGCTGCAATCCTCTGCATGCTTCAATCCCACTGTAAGGAGTTGAACTTGTTACTGAAACACATAGCGTTGAGTTCTGTGGCTGCAATCCAGTGTGCTCTAAAGTGCCCCTGAAGAGTTGGCAGCAAGAATGGCATTCAGCCGGGAAGGTGTTACTTACGTTCTTGTTAATGCATTATGGAATGTGAAAGAGAGTCATTTATTGATCCACTGAATTTCCGGCTATTGCAGGATTTACAGTGCAACTGTGTCCACGCCATTCTGACGCTCTTTCCTCCTCCAAGTCACACAAAGTGGAGCACAAACTGCACTGCACCCCTCATCTTTCTGTCACCACTTGTCCTTTTACTTCCTGGTTTTCTCCTTCAGTAACACCTGCTTCAATAAAAACAAGGCCACAGCTCAGGTAGAGAACTCTCAGGGCCAAACTGAGTATGAAGCTGGAGGTCCTTAATTGCACCTTCTGGTGTTTCCTGGCAGGGGGTGGCAATTTGTATGTTCAACAGGAGGTGTTGGCTCTACTACAGGCATAGGCAAACTCCAGCCATCCAGATGTTTGGGATTACAATTCCCATTATTCCTAGTTAACAGGACCATTGGTCAGGGATGATGGGAATTGTAGTCCCAAACATCTGGAGGGCTGCAGTTTGCCTACACCCACGCTACTAGATCAGAAGCTCCACATAAGGAGGCTCACACCCATAAATCCTTCTTTGGCCAGGTGGTAAAGATCATAGCCTTAGTGAGGACAAAACACAGCACCTGCAATTTATGAAGAGTGAATTGGATGGCATTTCAATCTAAAGTCAAAAGATGATTAAATGAAAGAAGCCACAGGAAAAGGAAAACGGGTAGGGGAACAGTCCCTAATTATGTCACTTAGGTGTCCTTCATTGGCAAGGCTGCAGCTTCTTGTAGATATTGGTTCCTTCCTCTAGTGTGTGTCTCCACAGCACCGTGGTTCTGGAAACACAAGATCCCTTCACATTGTAGGTATTGTGCATAGCAGATCTTTAGGTTTGCTTCTGAATACCCAGTATCCCCCTCCCATAGGAAGGGAGAATCCTAACTGCACTCAGGTCCTGCTTGTGAGTTTTTCATTGGCAGCTGGTTGGCCACTGTGAGAACAGCATGCTGGACCAGATGGGCCATTGGCCCGAACAAGAAGGCTATCCTTACGTTCTTATGTAATGCATTCACAGATCATGTAAACAAGGCCATAAAAGCAGATTCCTTGCTTTCACTGCAGCATTTCTTAGTTCTGATATTTACAGCAACACTACCAAATCTCAGTCAACCCTACCTCATAAGGTAAAGGCTGTGAAGGTAAAAAGGGTGAAAGGGAATACAATATACACAGCCTTGAGCTTCTGATAGAAAAAAAATCAAGTTGGAAATATCTGTGAGGGGAGGGTGATAGAGGCAGCAATTCCTATTATTATTATTATTATTATTATTATTATTATTATTATTTATTTATTTGTACCCTGCCCTTCTGGCTGGGTTTCTCCAGCCACTCTGGGCGGCTTCCAGCAGAACACTGTTGAAGTAAAACTTCAAACATTAAAAACTTCCCTAAACAGGGAAGTTACTGTATATTAATGAATAACAGCCCAGTGATGACAAGCAGACCTGTAGTAGCTGTGCTGAGGAAAAGGAAAATTGTGGGGATGACTGAAATGTTACCTTTTTTTTTAATGTAGGAAGGAAACTTAATTTGTTTAAAGGGAGTTACCTCTAAGTAAAGCATACCCAAGGCAACCAACTGTGTTTTATTCTGTAAAGGCAGCACACCTGGGGAGTCAATGAAATATGGTGAACACTAGAAAAGTGCTTGAACAAACATACCCCAGCTTCTCTTGCTTTTTCTGCTGCTCCTGGAGGGCTCGCTCCTAAGTTCCAGATGGGGCTGGTCAACATTCCTTTCTCTGAATGCTAAGCAACAGTGATTAAGTTATTAAACATCCTTAGCAATGGAGATGCCTACAAAGTGCTGAAGCATTAGAATTGTCTCAGTGTTTTGCTTTATAACTTTCTTTAGATATGTCTGATCAACTTACTTTTAAAAAATGAAACTAATAAAACTATTAGTCTAAGGCCCCTGCTGACACATAAATGTACACCTCCTGTAACCCCACCATGGAAGCAGCCCTGGCTTCCCCCTCACATCTATGTAAGAGTGAAAGAGTCACACTAGGTAAAGCCAGCTAGCTTTGACAGGACTCCAAGTGGGAGAGATTTTTCAGTTAGCTGAAGCATCTTTTCCTGTACATGAATATCTTGTGCCTCTTGCCAGAAAACAAATTCTCTTTTAATAGTGCTCAGTCATAAGCAAAGGAAAATGTTTCCCCATTATACATGTTTTCCATGCTGTCAGATTGTTGAAGGGAAAGATATAATTATTATTTTTTTGCGTAACTACAGAGATAAACTTAAACTCTTAACACGTTACTTTCACAAAATGTAAATCTACAAATTATGCTAGATTTTAAGATGGCATTAAAATGCAACACGTCGTGACAGTTTAAATAGTTCTCACCAAGACAGAAATGAAATTGATGAATGTGCTGAAAAAGTAAAGTGAAAAATACTCCAACTCTATCATTTGTCTTTTGACCTTATTTAATTTTTAATTTGTAAAGACACAATCTGAGGAGGTCAGGGCAGCATTTTAGCCTCACAACAACCCTCTGAGAATGAGTAGGCTAAAATAGTGACTTTCCTGATGCTATCTATTTAGCTCCTCTTCAGAAAACAAGAGGAGCTAACACCGGCACTATGTTGGCTCTGTGGTTCTACAACCATTTTTGTAGCTAAAGTAAAGTTGAATAGATATTTGAGAGTTCCTGGTTGCAAACTGCTTTGGGAGTATTTGTAGTGGGTTGCAATAGATAAATTAAATAAACCTAAACCTAACTCAGTTGTACTTATGTTGTGCAGTCATGTATAGGATTGCACTATAAGACCGACTGACCTTTTTTTTTTTTTTTTGCATTTTGAAGTTTTATTAGGTTCCAACATATCATACAAACAAATCATAAACAAATCATAACCATTTTGGACTTCCTTCAACGTCATTGGCCTCATTCGTAGTAATATCTTTAGTTCACATTTCATTTTTTCCTATTGCCATTTGTTCTTCCATTCCTCAAGATTTCAAATAAGCAATATTTACTAGTTGTTTACAGTGCCTCTTTAAACCCCACTAGCGTTGTATTTACATCACAGTTGTTTTCCAGATACCCCACAAATTTCTTCCAATCCTCAATAAATTTTTGATCTTTAGTATATCTAATTTTCCCGGTTAATTTATCCAGTTCCGCGTATTCTATCAACTTTGTTCTCCACTCTTCAACCCTTGGGATCTCTTCCTGCTTCCATTTCTGAGCTATTACTATTCTAGCTGCCGTTGCCGCATACTGAAAAAGCTTACAATCCTTTTTCCTGATATCTTTTCCTACAATACCTAGTAAAAAGGCTTCTGGTCTTTTCACAAAGGTGTATCTTAGCATCTTTTTCATTTCGGTATAGACCTCTTCCCAGAACCCTTTTACTTTCTTACAGACCCACCACTGATGGTACAATGTCCCTTCTTTATGTTTACATTTCCAGCATTTGTTGTCTACCTTATACATCTTTGCCAATTTTACGGGTGTTATGTACCACCTATAAAGCATCTTCATCATATTTTCCTTCAGTAGTGTACACGCCGTAAATTTTATGTTCACTCTCCACAACCTTTCCCAATCCTCGGGCTGGATATTGTATCCAAAATCCCTTTCCCACTGTACCATCACCGATTTCACTTCCTCTCCCTTCATGGTCCCGGCCAGCAGCATTTTGTACATCCTTGATAAATTTTTACAATCATTGTCAATTATTTCATTTTGAAAGGCTGATTTTTTTTCCTCATAGCCCCTTTCCTTCACTTCTTTTTTAAACATTTCATTTATCCTAAAATAGTGCAGCCAATCGTATGTAAGCATTTTAACCTGGTCGTATGGTTTTATTTTCCACTTCCCACCTTCCTTGGTGACCATCTCTCCGTACTTTCCCCATTTTTCTCTCATATTAATCTTTTTTACACCCATTATCTCTAACGGGGAAAGCCAATGTGGGGTTTTTGGTTCCAATAAGTTCTTGTATCTTTCCCAAACCTCAATTAGTGGACCTTTAAATATATGATTGCTAAATCCCCTATGCACCCTCTTTTTATCGCACCATAGGTACGCGTGCCACCCGAATCTGTTGCTAACTCCTTCCAGATCTAATAGTTCTTTATCTTCTAATTTTATCCAATCTTTTATCCAGCATATACATGCTGCCTCATAGTATAGTCTAATGTCTGGTAGGGCGAAGCCACCTCTTTCTTTTGTCTCGGTTAATAACTTATACTTGATTCTGGGCTTCTTCCCTTCCCAAACATATCTTGTAATCACCTTCTTCCATTCATTAAAGTCTTTTGTACCTTTTATTATAGGTATTGTTTGGAATAAGAATAGCAACTTGGGTAGCACCATCATTTTCACCATCGATATTCTTCCCCAGAATCATAGTTTCAGTCTAGCCCAACCCTCCATATCTTTTTTTAATCCTTTCCACACTGGGGTGTAATTATTTTGGTATAAGTCAATGTTCTTATTGGACAGCCAGATTCCCAAGTATTTAACCTTTTTTGCCACCTCGATTTCCGTTTGCTGCTGTAGGCATTCAATCTTGTCTTGGTCCATATTTTTAACAATCATTTTGGTCTTTC